CTGAGCCAGATCTTCTTGTGTCCAGAGTATTGAAGGACAGGTATTTCCCCAACTGCTCTATCTTTGATGTGACTAAAACTCAGAATGGCTCTTGGTTATGGCACACTTGGTTGGACTGCCTTCCTATACTTGCACAAAGACTGAGAACACAAATTAGAAGTGGGGAAAATACAAGAATTGAGGACATCAACTGGATACCTGGAATGCCTCCCCACAGACCTAACCTTCTGAACATTGCTAGAGGGCACATCACTTGGGTCAAGGAACTACTGCTGGATGGAGGACTCAACTGGAATCCCTGGCTGGTAAAACAGCTTTTTAATGAAGAAGAGAGTCAAGCCATTCTCAAAATCAAGACCCCTAATCCAAGGCGGCAGGACAGATATTATTGGAGCTTTGATTCCAAAGGACAGTTTTCTGTGTCTTCAACCTACTCTTACCTCATCAAGCAAAAAATCCAACACTTAGACATCCTTGGTCCCAGTACTCATCAATTTGTTGGTAGCAAAGCAAGACAGAGAAGCTGGGGTCTAAAGATAAAAGGAACTATCAAGCATTTCCTCTGGAAGTGCTACTCTGGTTCCTTACCTGTCAGAACTTTGCTGCTGAAAAGGGGAGTTGCTGTGGATGCACTATGCCCCTGCTGTGGGGAAGCTCCTCAAACAATCGAACATGTGCTTTTCTGCTGTCCAAAAGCTCAGTTACTGTGGCAGATGTGTCCTTTACAGTGGGATGAGGCTGATATGCAAAACTGTACTTTCAGGTCTTGGTGGTGGCAACTTTGTACTTTGGATAAGACTCCAGTGGTCGAGGATAGAATTCAACTCACAACCTATCTCCTTTGGCGGCTCTGGAGGTCGAGAAACCTGTGGATATTCGAGAAGCACATCATGCCTATTCCTATTGTGATCAAGGCTGCTCACAAGGAATGGCTTGAATTCTGTTCACTGAAGGGCTGTAGCTTTTGATTTCCTTCTTTTTCTTTCTTTTTTTTGGTTTCTTGTTTTGGTTGTTTTTTCGGTTATGAAGTGGGTGTACTTGCTAGGCATTTCTGCAGTGGTAAGTTTTCTCTCTTTGTTTTTAGTTTGGTTGTTCTATTTGAGCTCTAGGTCGTTATCTTAACGTGTCCTCTCATTCTTGTATTTCGGCTAGTTGGATATTGTGTTGTATTCGGACATTGTTCGTGGTTTGAGTTATATATATATCGCTTCTATCGTTTCGAAAACAAAAAAGCAATTTCAAACACACATATATATCCTTATGAACACAAAAGTCACATATTCATATTCACAGGTATCCAACGATCTCTTTCAACAATCAATAACACAACATACATGAGACGAAAAATTAAACGAGACGGGTCGAGCCTTGTACATTCTCGGGAATCGCGATCGAAAATGAAACGAACGACCGACGGGAAGCACGGTGGCTCGAGGGAAGGGACAGCGGCTCAACGCGGCGGCCTGAGCGCTCGTCGGGCGGAGCAGCGGCGGTCGAGGGCGCTGCAGCTGGTGGTCCGCGGCCTAGAGATCGTGAACGGGGGTCGTGTGCTCGGTGACGGGCTGCTGAGCTCGCCGGAATTGGGCCTGCGGGAAGGGATCACAAACGGGGTCGACGAGGTGCTACCCACCGGATGTGGTCGTGACGTCGAGTTGCTGGAGAGGTGGACGAGGGCTCGTGAAGGTTGAGGTCGCCGGAATTTGCAGGTCGCGGCGTCGGGCTCGCGGCGTTGCTACTGGTTCGCGGCGGAGCATGGCGGGTTCACAGCGGAGGTGGTCGTCGGAAGCCGGGTTCTGCTCGTGGAGGTCTGAACGCCGGTGACTAGCTGGTTGCCGGAAAAAACTTCGCAGGCCTGCTGGGTCGGGGATGGCGATGGCGATTTGCAGAGCAAGGGGAGAGGGTTGATGATGACGATGATGATGAGGGAAGTCGATCAGACTTATAGCGAGAGGAAAGAGAAGAGATTGAGCGTGAGAGATTTCTGCTTGCGAGAATATGACAGGCGAGAGAGAGATTTGACGAGGGTGATCGATCAGATTTGAGGCTGCGGGATAGCTTTGAGCGAGAGATACAGATATAAGCCAATTAGGTAGATTAGGTTTAATGTCTTGATCCACAAGATTAAATCACACACACACAACCGGGCCGGGTTTGGGTCGATCTAGGCCGGTTCGGTTTGACGGGCTCGCGGGTCGAGCTGGTTCGATAACACGGTTCGGCTCTCGGGCCCGACTACGTGGCATTAATTCCGTTTTCTCGGGCACAATTAAATAAATAGACCGAACATTATTTATATATAATACACACAATTAACTTTATAAACCAGATAAAATATATATTAATACACACTTTAATAAATAATAATAACATTTAGGCATTTAATTACAATTTAACAAATAAATAATATTTAACAATTAGACATTTAATCGAAATTTAACAAATACATAATATTAGACATTCAATAATAATAATGATAATAATAATAATGAAAAATAATTCCCAAATATTCAATAATTAAACGGGGCATTACAGCCTTCCCCTTGGATTCTGACAAGAAATAATTGAGATTAAAAAATATATAATATAATGAATAAATACTAATTGAGCTACAAATTCTAACCTTTGGTTGTTTTTCAACTAGAGGATTAAAACAGGATTTTTTACTGTGCCATTTTTCGAAACATCTCTGACAAGTCATAACCATCCCAAATCTCCTCAACTTAGTCCCAGAATTTATTTATTCCTCAGCATCTCTTCTCCTTTTTTTCTTTGGCCTTCCTCGCATCCTTTTAAAGGGAGGGGGCAGAATAGGATATTCTTGTGCAACTGGCCACAGTTTCTTTCCATTTATAGGCTGCAATGAGAAACTGTACATTTCCAAATACTTTTGAAGTGAGAAGTACTCGGACACAAAATCTACAGGATCTTTATGTTGAAAATGCATTGCAGAACATGCATGAACACAAGGTATGCCTGTAATATCCCAGTATCTGCAATTACATGTGCTGTTCCTCAAGTTCACCACAAACTGATCATCCTGATGCACAACCTCAAATATATCACCTACAGCTGGCTTTGTGAGACAATGTCTAGACATATACTTGTTGTGCTCCAGCTTCTTTCTTATTCTAGGACAAATTATATCTGTATGCCCCCTAAGCTCTAACAGCTTGTCATGTTTCCTTTTCATTAACTGACTCGTAACAAACTCCAACATATCAATAATGTGCTTGGTTCTACCCTTCACAATAAGACCATTGAATGTCTCACTCACATTATTCTCAATCATATCACATCCTGGCATTAGAGAAATATAAGCCTTAAAAAGTTTGGTAGGGTCTCTGGTAATGAAATCTTCAAAAGCATCTGGATCTTCAAGCTTCAAATCCTCCAAATTTATGTTGTAGTCACCCATGTTAGTGCTCATAACAGTCTTCCAAAAAATACTTTTCAGTGTGTGTTCTTGAAACTCTTCTTCCAGTTCATATATACATGCCTTGCACAATTTCTGTGCTCAGCATATGGGGCTAAATCCTTTAGTACACGCAGAAGACCCTGTAAAAGTACAACAATTAAAAAAAATTAGATATGAACAAGTTAAATTCAGAAATACTGAAAATTAGATATGCATATATGAACCATAAATTCATAAATTTAGAAATTGAGACATGTTAGAGAGAAAACATACCTTTTGTTGGTCTGACATGAATGTGTATCCAAGAACATCATTAATGCCCAAATCAGTGAACAAAATACTTAAAAACCACCTCCAACACTCCTCATTCTCTGTTTCAACAACTGCCCAAGCAACCGGGTATATTTGATTGTTGCCATCTTTTGATGTGGCACACAATAGAGCCCCCCCTAAGAAAGTCTTCAAGAAACACCCATCAAATCCTAAAATGGGTCTACAACCCCTAAGAAAACCCTTTCTCAGTAACCCAATATAGAAAGCTCTGAATGTTGTTTCTTCACCAAGAAGAAACTCAAACCTTCCATCTCTGTCCACCCTCAACAGCTCTGCCATGTAACTCCTCAGAGAAGCATAATGGTCTGCTACTGAGCCTCTAAACATCTCAAGAGCTCTCCATTTTCCTCTATATAACTTCCACTTTGTAGGTTGTACTGCATACTTCTCAGAAATCACTTCTTCAATTTGGGCTATGGTCATGTTTGGATTCTTCCTCAACTTTTCAAGTAATTCCTCAGCAATCCATTCTGATGTAACTTGCCTGGTGTGCACATTTCTATGGCATTTGTGCTCCTTGTTCAATTGTTTGATTGCTACACTACCCTCACTCATAACTGCACTAGCATACATGATCAAAGGGCAACCATCAACACATCTCATCCTTAACTGTTTTTTGCTAGTTTTGGTAAACTGTATGTCCCTACCTTGGAAAATTGCACATTTCTGACTGCTCTTTTCAATTCATCTATGCTTATGAATCTCATCCCTAGCACAAACTCAAGAGTGTTGTGATCACACTTACGGTCATAATTAACCCTTCTCTTTCTACCTATGTAGTTCCCCTCCTCATCCATTTCACATTCACTATCAGATAACAATGCAGAGTCTAAGTAGCAGAATCTTCACTTTCCATCTCAATGACCTTACCTGAAGAAATGTTATCTGCACACTCTTCATCTTCTAATCTCCTCTTTTTTTGGTTCTTCAAATTCTGCCTTGCCTCAAGATATTCACCATCATCATCAGAGGCAAAGTCATCTACAGAAAGTTCATCATCAGATGAATTATCTCCCATGGGAAAGTAATCTTCATCATCACTATCATCTCCAGAGCTTTGAACTTCACAGTCACCCACATTTCAATTAGACAACTGTGAATTTTTCCCCACTTCTTCATCAGCATCACAATCTATTTTCCCCTCAACTCCTAAATCCACACCATTTTGTTCATCTGGTAAACTGAATTTTTCTATATATGTATCTATATCAAAAGCATTCTCTGACATAGAAGCATTTTCCACACTTGCATTCTACTTTCTTTTCTGTGCTTCTCCTGCATTGTTCTTCTCTTTCTCTTTATGTGCCTCAACTCCTAACTCCACATCATTCTTTGCTTCTCCTGCATTCTTTTTGGATGTCTGATTTTCTCCAACCACATAAACCTCTACTAATGATCTTTTCTGAGTACTGTCTCTAATCATCTCCATAACAACACTATCATCTACTGCATCTTTAAAGATTTCTTTTCCAGTTCCATCTGGAACTCTGTAGACAATTCTCTCAAACTTACCAACACCCAGCATCTCAACTTCTTCTTTTAAGTCAAAATAACCAAATCTATCCACATCTAAACCATGGACTCTCTTGAAACTTCCACCTAAGTAGTCAACCACATTTTCCAATTTGACAAAGTATCCTCCATAGTTGAAAAAAATTGAAAACTTGCCACTGCAAGGAAAAAAAATCCATAAGAATTTGAAAATTTCTCACTGCAGAAGATATTATTCTTAGTAAATTCACATATTAATATCCCAGAAAAACCTCATTTTTCAAATAAACCCTAATTTTTCTAAAAATCTCTAGTTTCCACATAAAAACCCTAATTTCACTCACAAATTTTAAAATCCCAGATAAATACCCAGACAACTGCAGAAGATACCATGCTTAGAAAATTGAAAAACTAATTTCCCAGAAAATCGTCATTTTTGCAAGAACCCTAATTTTTCGAAAAATCCCTAATTTCTCAAAAGAACCGTATTTTACCAAAGGAATTCTAAATCCATGGAAGATTACCAATCCTAAACGAACCCTATATAGATTTATTCTATAATTCACTCGTTTTATGAATAAAAATTCATTAAAGTGGAAGTACCTGTCTTTCATTTCTCTGTCAATGAACTGTCGAACGCAGGAACTCAAACTCTTATGAAATTGAGACGACCACGCCTTGGAATCCTTGTGCACAAATAAGATTTCATGCGTAGGTTCGATTTTTTTTTTTTTTTTTTTTTTTTTTTTTTTAGATAGGGATTTGTGGATCAATCGAGTTTTGAGAGATTAGGGTTAAAGTACCCGTTTTTATACCATGCCACAGAGAAATGATTTTTTTTCCACGTAACGCAGCAAGCAAAAAAATCCACGTAGATGTAAGCTGCCGGACACGCTGGCGATTTTGAAAGGTCCGACCGGTGTAAGGTTCAACTTGCAATAAGTAAAGTGAGGTCGAGATTATAATGCAATTATCCAAAGGTTAGGATAAAAATGCAAAACGGAAAAAGGTTGAGGTTTAAATAGCAATTAACCCTATTTAATTTGGTTTAGATTTTATAATTTTTAATTAAGGTACGTTCCCACTGCATCTTCTGCTTGATTTTTCATTGTGATATTTGATATTTCATCGTCTCTAAATATGCACGCGAAACACGAACACTTGTACCATTCTACTCGGGGGCTCTCTCTATCAATTGCTACCCGTTATAACTATTTTTATTTTTATTTTTGTTCCCACTTTCACCTCTAACCTTATTAGTGTAATAATAATAGGTTCCATGTTGCAAATTAATGTAGAATTGTTTTACTTTTTTTTTCACCAATTTTATGGATCCAATTTTTGAGAAATTTTCCAAAACTATAAAAGTGCGTACAGAAAATTAATTCAAGTTTGAAATGAGTAAAAATATAAAAAACATTGAATTTTTCTTTTTCGGTACAAAAAAAAAACATTGAATTTAAGGGGAGCTTGTGTACAAAATATTTCATATTTAATTTACACTAATAATTTAATTTAATTTTAACTAAATTTCATTATTTTTAATATTATTCATATAATTAAATAACACAAATTAATCATTCTTATATATTACATTTATTTTAATCACTATTCATCGATTTCATATAAATTTAACTAACTATTACGGTATATTATCTTTCTCATACTTTTAAATCAAATTAACTTACATCCATTTTAATTTACTATTCATCCATTCAACTTATATTTTTCAAAATTTATCATAACTAAAAAAAATAATCATTTCAAACATATTAATTTGTAAACAAGTACCCTTTCTTACGCTGATATCAGCATCCTGAACAAGTGAAAAAACGAGGGGCCAAAAAGAAAATAATATAAAAGCCGGGCTTGAAAGTTGAAAATGGTTCTCTGTACTAGGCACAACAGGTAACTGTAGAGAGAAGGAAAAGTTTGAGCTGATGAGAGAGGAGGAGGGTAATTGATCACTGAGCAAAAAGACCTGCACACCTATTTACTGTTGTTGCTATCATTTTTTATTTTTTTCTTATTTCACCAAAGTAGTTACTGTTTTTTATCTTTCTTATCTTTGCAGAATACTTGAAAAGCTGCAACTAAAGATCTCTAACCATCAGAGTGTCAAATTTTAAGCAAATGACAGCGGTTCAGTCGACCGTATGGGTGCCTGTAGCATTTTGTTATATGCGCTGGTTCCCATCGAAGTGATCGCTCGCTGGTCCCCCCAACTTCATGTTGGCCCCACCTATCCAACCGCTGGTTCCCACCGAGTTTCAGCCTCCCACACTGCCGCTTCTAGTTCTCAGTATTAATTGTTCCGCCATTGCGCTCCGGGGGGCTCGAACCCTTGACCTCATGTCAAGAGTGCCTCACTCTTACCACTAGGCTTATTTTCATACAATTGTTACTTGTTTTTATATTTTTATTAATTTTTTTAATTTTCTTTTACTTTTTATCATCATTTTATAATAAAATTTTGAATTTGTATTTTCATGTAAAATAGCATACCATATTACATCCGATTTTACTATTTGTATTTCTGGACATATATCAAAATAAATATTTCTAAGACTCATTCTTTTTAATTAAAACCCTAATGATTTAGTAATCGTATGCCTTGCTCTGATCCGATTCTATATTATTGTTTTAAATGGTCCTATTTTTACTAACTTTTTAAACTTTTGTTTATAACTTTGTATATTATAATCTACTAGTACGACACCTGTGTACTACACGGGTGAATGAAAGAATAATTTAAACAAAAAGAGTAAAAGAATTTAATTATTGTAAATGTATACAAAATCAAGTCCAGAAATACTTACTTGTGAATTAAGATTTCATTCAGTTAAATCTCATCATACATAAAATTCACTATGTTAAAACGTAGCCTGTTGAAAATATAGTATGCAACAAACTGATCACATTAAATTTGCCATACTATACTACGACCAACTTGACTCAAAACTTTCATTAGGCATCACCAGACATGAAACTTCAAAACAAGAAAATTTACCATAAGTGAAACTTCAACATGTAGGGATATTTATCATACTATGGTGGATATCATCTGCACCTTTAATTAGTAAATCAATATATGTTTCTCCATCAATTTCAACCCCAGCTTTACCATCCCCAATTTTGATGATCCAATCGGAGATCTCTTTAATTTCATTTGTAGTGACGTGAGACTGGCCAACTGTTAGTCTCATATTTTTGGTTAGCCTCAATACCCTACAATGATCCCATAATTTTGAAGAATTTATGGAGGCAAAAACAATATCTTCTTTACTCCCTTGTGGAATCACGGGAGAATTTGCCAAAAATCACCACAAAAAACAATAGTTTTTTCTCCAAAAGGGAGACTATTTTTAGAAGGATCGGTACACGTACCTTTCAAGCTTCGATCTAATGCTTCAAAACAATATCTATTCATCATAGGCGCTTCATCCCATATGATAAGCTTTGTTTTTTTGCAAAAGAGCGGCTAACTCAAAATCAGGAGAGAACTTACACATGGATTTCTCAGTAATGTTGAAGGGTATTCCAAATCGAGAATGGGCTGTTCGACCCCCAGGCAACAATAGCACAACAACTCCACTCAAAGCTACAGTGATGACAATTTCACCTTTGCTTCGCAAAGCAGCAGGTAACGTTCTCCAAATAAATGTCTTGCCTGTACCACCATGTCCATAGACGAAAAAAACTCCCCCATCATTATTCCCAGTAACATTTAAAATTTCAATGTAAACTCCTCTCTGTTCAACAGTCAAAGAAGAATAAAGTTGTAACGCCCCACATTATTTTAAAAGATTTATCGAATTTATTTAATAAAAATCAAAGTAAATTTTTCGCAAATCTCGTTTAAGTTTAAAATTCAATGGGCGCTATCTATTTTACCAAGTGCAATTCATCCAACATACAAAATAGATCAAAAAGAACCTACACAGTTATCAAGTTCTAAAATAACAATTAAATAAAAGCATGATCCCAAAGGTTTCAATCCGTCCAACACTTTTCCAAAATCAAACCAGTTCATCATAATCAATAAAACATAATGAATTAATAAATGCGAAAATAAATAATAATCTTAACATTTGACCGAGTTTCGAAAGTCAAAAACAACGATGAACAACCACTACTACAAGGGTCACGAATAAGGTTTCACTCTTCACACTCAACGAATCTCAATCAACACGAGGTAAGAGTGTCGGATAACAAAACAAGGCTCCGACTAACATGACTTACTCACAGCGACTCGAGGCTCGGTTTTTGAAATCGAGAGTCCGAATATCCACGAAAGGTTCAAGAAAAACACTCAACGTATAGAACGAGCATACGAACCAATGTATACCCGACTAACCAACGGATTTTCAAATCCAACCAATGAAAAACGAACGATTTAAAACGGGGAAAATTTAATCAGCATCTCGTTCTCCACGGATCCATAAGCAAAAGGAATCGATTCATCCACGCGAACCTGACACCTAGACACTACTCCCGGTCCTCATTGACTGGGTCCTAACACTAGTCTAATGGTCCTATTGACAACGGTTACAGACTCCCGATTAATCCACACATGGGATTTTTTCGGTCGTCTGCTCCCTTCACCTAAACGCTCTCCTTTCGAGATGGAATTGCGAATGGTCCTCACTTGAAGACACTGAATTTTCATCGAGAGGACTGCTACAACAGAACTCAACTCGATAACATCATATGGAATTTCTAATAAACAAAATCTCAAGTTGGCATGTACGGAGGTTTATAACTCTTCTAGAGTTCACCATTAAATACCAGAGTTCAACAATTGTAGAAGTAGGAGGATAAATTCCTAAGCCCCAATTAACAACATATCATATCAGATCACAAGTAGTTTCATTGCTACTTGTACAAATCCACAATTCACATTATAATTATTTTCATTGATACTTATATAAAACACATACCTTAAGCAGCGCGGCATGACGAAGACGAGTGGTCATAAGACAAGGTCTAAATCACATAAGCAAATTTTCACATATATGCCAGTCTACAGAAACGCAGACTGGCTCTGATACCAAACTGTAACGCCCCACATTATTTTAAAAGATTTATCGAACTTATTTAACAAAAATCAGAGTAAATTTTTCGCAAATCTCATTTAAGTATAAAATTCAATGGGCGCTACCTAATTTACCAAGTGCAACTCATCCAACCTACAAAATAGATCAGAAAGGACCTACACACTTATCAAGTTCCAAAATAACAATTAAATAAAAGCCTGATCCCAAAGGTTTCAATCCGTCCAATACTTTTCCAAAATCAAACCAGTTCATCATAATCAATAAACCATAATGAGTTCATAAATACGGGGACAACCGTACCGACGGCCGTAACAGCTCACATCGATAGGCTACATGTTCACATGCATACATAGATCATACCAAATTTTCAACACAATTAAAACACACAGATGCATAGGAATTTTAGAATAACTAACCCACCTGGATGTTTGGATTGACGATAGTAAAATCAGAAAGGACGTAGGTCGAGGCTTGACTCCTCAAACACTTACATTAAGTCAAGATCCTACAATCAATATCTTAACTTAAACGGAAAACACAAATCAGACTTAGTTGAA